AAAATTTGTGTCGTATATTCGTGCAAAGAGCTCATTTTCGTCTCACTTTGTCCAAAATTTATAATTTTAAAGTTAAATTTAAGGTTTATTTCATTTGGATTTAAATTTTGGGGCTATATTGGCCCAAATTTGTGTTCTTTCCAGTTTAATACATGTCGTCCGCATATTTTTACTGTATGTGTTGTTTTGCTAATTCTTTTCCAAACAATCTTTCTTAACAAAATTTGTTTATGAAAATCAAAATCAAGATTCCCCTTGTTTCCATTCATGCCGTTTTCTATGAAAAAACTTTTCTCCAGTCGTTTATTATTAATGGTAAATTCTGAATAGTTTTCTCGGTCCGGAGCTACATATATGTGCGCTCGGTAACCGATATACTAAATTGGAAGTTAATTTTAAGCCAAACTTGCTCCAATTCTGTATTTTGGTTTTGTATTTTAACTAAATTAGTAGTAGTAAAGAAATGTTTTTGAGAATTTTGGCCTGTCAGGTTTAACAATAATTAGTTAAGATAGGTCCAGCGGAAAATTTTATTTTAACTTTATCTTACTGAAAAATAGATTTAGCTTACTACAGAAAACTATTGCAAGCCTTGATTTTGAAAAAATATGTTATACCAATCATTTCTAAACCCCGTACTTCCGAGACGGAATTTTATAACCGGGTTATAAAAGCTCAATTCTACCACAAGTTTCAAGTGTTTTCGCGTGAGACTAAGCTAAGTTTGAGCATTAAACACAAAGGAAGCGATTCATTTATTTGATTAAACCTGTAAAAAGACTTATGTGCGACATTTCCAATTTCGGTTTCAACAAATAAAAGACCCGTAATTATTTATCAATATTTCTGTAATATTATAAAAATCTTCCAGCAGCAACCCAGCGAAAATTTACAAACACGGTAGCTTCTGATTTGGGTTCCCAGAAGATGGGGCGACTAAATTTTGTTAGGGAAGTTCCGATTGAGCAGCAAGTGTTGTTCTGCCGATCGTTCAGTCTTGATCCACACGGGAGATCTAATATTCTCAGGGCAGCTCTTAATGAGTAATTCGACCCTCCAAGCGTCGCTTGGCCTACACTTCGTACCTTATATGGCCGCCGTGCCAACCATTAACTCTTGCTTGGTCAAGGATTCCGCTATATTACAATATAATTAATTCCTTCTTCCAAGCACGACCATAACGTGAATCATAGTAAGCACGAAAGCAGCTCGAAATTCCCATTTAATAGGACAAAATTGAAATTTCATCGTGTTACCATTTTGGGAAGTTGTCACCATTTTTTATATCATACATTCACTTGTGGTATTTTTTCGGTTCTACGCTGCGTCCTATAGCCGGTCTGAATTGATCGTACTTGATTCCTTCCATATACGCGCACATCTGAAATGTTTATGTTACTGTAAATTAATTTTTATGTGCTAAAATTTCATCACTCTGTCTGGTTTCATATAAATACGTTTGCAATTAAACAATGTAAACATGCACATTCCGCGTAATATAGCGGAGTGCGACGATTTAAAGCACAAATATGGGAGAACGAACCCAATTTCTGGGAACTAACACTTTGCTAAGGGGAACAGTGCTTGATTTACTCACTAAATTTATACCTAAATCATTACAGCAAAGTTTCCATTCATTTTTTTCCAGGTTACTACATCTACATGGAAGTGACTAACTCATATGAAATGGAAGAAAATTTTCGAAAAGAGTTAGAAATTTTTCTACCTCTACATAAAATCTGCAATTTTTTAGGGATGGAGAACTTCTCACTTATAATGACTGCTCTGTTGTTTTCAGCATGAAGCCGATTATTAGCTGGCTTATGCAAGATTATTCCTCGGAGTTGAAACGAAGAAAAAGTTTATGCTCATTAGTAGCAGCAAGAAAAACTAGTTAATTGAGCTCTTTTTAAATTTGTGTCTTTGAGTTAGCTTTCTCGTTAAAAAAGATTACCCGAACGGAAAATTGCAAAAAATACTTACGTTTAAGAGGTGATCAGATGAAAAATATTGATAGCTGTGATGGTTATGAAATTTTGTATTTTTTACGTTAAAATGTTCATGCGGAAATGCCCATTCACTTATGTGACAAATAAATACTATAAAAAAATTTAAAGCGTCGGCTTGTTAACCAAATGCTAGGGTAAAATAAATTGTGTTGACGCACAGGATCTTTCTTACTTTTCTTTTACATGTTTTGTTAATGATACACAACGCTTTCATCGTAAAACTGTAAAGCCATTCTTTAAATAACGATTTTCAAAAAGAAATAAGTAAGGCATTTGATTTTGCTCATTTTGGAGGCACAGGTTCAAATTTCCTTACTTGATACTGTTAGGTATTGAACAGCTTACATATTTTTTTCATTTTTGACTTGGAGTGAGTTTGACGTGACCTCAACCGAATTGCAGAAGATAGCTTAGTAGGTGTTGGCCATCGATGCGTTCGGTACGTCTCATGAAGATGGGAAAAGGTGAAAAGTTCAGATCTTGAGTAGGTCATGCCATTAGGCGTCTGTGTTTTGTGTGTGAATAGTTAGGAAATATTTTAATGGTGGGATTTTATTATTACCAATTATTAATGTGATATTCATATTCAACTTAATAATTTGCTAGGTTTTTATTTCTTTAAACAGCTTTTACAGGAGTCTTAGTAAATGGCTCAGTAATAATATGGAAATTAGTCACATTAATAGTTTTCGTGTCGTCCATACCAACCAATAAAGATATTTTAGAATATTGTATCCACCGTGGCCAAAGAAAAACTATTTAGAGCCATTTAGGGATGAAGACGGGCATTGTCTTATATGTGTTTGAATGCGTCCCTAGCAAAACCAGAGAGAACGCATTGAGTGTATGAGAGATATGAGGGTTTGTATATTAAGTATGTGAAGGGCTGAGAAAGCTAAACAGAAATCTGATCAACTAAAATGAAATGGCTTTAAAATCGAGTGATCGGTGGAGTGAAAAGACGAAATGTAGGATATACAAGAAAAAATTAAACAAAATTTCATTCTGAACCTAGTCAGTTCTCAGATTAAATGAATCCATTCTAAGAAGTTTGAATGACGGGATAAGGGATTTTTGGAAAAGCTGTGCTTGGCAGAAGTTCCAGTCTTGATTTTTTCCCGTGCGTAAGAAAACTTTTCAGCTGACGCCGGCAGTGTCTTTCGATGTTAGCCATGCTCCCCAATAAAAAGGGTTGTTATTTTGTCTGCAGCGTTTCGTATGGAAAAAAGACCTGAAAAAATATTCAACACTAATTGAATTTTATTGGATTTTAACTGTCTGGAAGTTAATTATTTAATTAGAAGATGGCTCATCGCATTTCATTCACGAAGTCAAGTGTGAATTTCTCCTATGATACTTATCTTAAATGTGTTTTCCACAGTTCAAAAGAAATTTGACTGCGTTCAATATTTGAGCCCTGCATTTTTCTAGAAATAAAATGCACTTTAGAAAGATATAGAATATTGTTTAAATTTGTTATTATTCCCACTACAGTTCTAGGATTTTTTGTTGGTTCATGGGATTTTGTTGGTTCACGAAGAATCATTTTTTCGTTGATTCGCAAGTACCATATTTTATCTATTCATTTAAATTTTGCTCGTAAAGTTTCTTCCTACCATATGTCTTTCATCAGGCGCGAAAAGTTTCAATTCTTCGGTAGTTAAATCAGTAGACTTTTTTTAACTATTTACACTTTAATCAGATTTTGCGGAAGCTCACTCGCAGGATGGGTTAAACAAAACGGCCCTTACTTATTATTATTCTTCAAGTGAATCTGCAGTCTCATAAAAATCTAATCATCCCATTACGTTTCTAAAATTGAACCTTTCTTCGTTTCTGCTGGGATAGGCACAGTGGCTGTCGCAGCAAATTTCACCTATAATCTATTGTTTAATAAGCATGATACACCGTATTTCATCAAGAACGTGCTGCTTCGTTTACGTCAAATTACGCACTGTAGTCATGGAGTTTACAGCCTTGCCAACTCTTATTCAGGATCATTTGTATTCTGTTGGTGGCACAAGCGTGGAGCCATCATGTCAGACGCAGGCAGCGTTAGCAGTGAACACAGCCGCCGTTAATGATGCTCCAGTAACAGCTCGCATTCTCTTCTGACCATCCTCCCTGTCCCGTGAAATATAAAAGTGTCATTGCCAAGTGGGGGAAACTTAGATGATCAACATAGCTAGAAAATAACTGCATTTACACTAATTATGGGAGATTATTTTACACTAACTACGGGAGATTATTCTTTTTTGAAATGCTCGGCGTATCTGCCCAAAGAAAAATATAAAAATGTCAGTGCCAAGTGGGGGAAACTTAGATGATCAACATAGCTAGAAAATAACTGCATTTACACTAATTATGGGAGATTATTTTACACCAACTACGGGAGATTATTCTTTTTTGAAATGCTCGGCGTATCTGCCCAAAGAAAAATATAAAAGGGTCAGGGCCCAATGGGGGAAACTCAGATGCTCAACAAAAGTGGAACATTACTGCATTTACACTAAATACGGGAGATTATTTTACACCAACTACGGGAGATTATTCTTTTTTGAAATACTCGGCGTATCTGCCCAAAGAAAAATATAAAAGGGTCAGGGCCCGATGGGGGAAACTCAGATCTCAACAAAAGTGGAACATTACTGCATTTACACTAAATACGGGAGATTATTCTTTTTTAGCGCATTTTTTCGTTTATGGAAAAAAGGCGCTATTGTGCTCGTCATGTCCGTCTGTCCGTCTGTCCATGACTTCTCGTTTTCGTCGACGAGAAAATGCGCTCTCTGTCTCTCACTGCAGTGAGTACCGAGTTATATTTTTTGGAATGCTCGGCGTCTCTGCACTGTGAAAAATATAAGTGTCGCTGCCCACTGAGAAATACAGATACTCAATAAACATGGGAAAATGAGATTTTATAAACAATATTAAAGATAACAACCTCGAGGGTTTTCTCAGCTTCTATACACCGGAAAAATACATTTGTCGATGTCCGGTGAGAAACATAAATTGCTCACAAACCATGAGAAAATGTGTGAATTTTCACGCAATATGGGAGAAGAAACCTCTTGGGCCCGCCTTGAGAATGTGTACTATGAAAAATCTCTTCATCGCACATAAATATATTACTTCATTTCATGACGGAAACGTTATAATAACACTTCGTGGTAAGTAAAAGTATCTCGTTTAAATAGAAGATATTTAATTGAATTTTCCATGCGCGATAATGACGAAGTAACTAAACAAAAATACGATCTCTGGTGACCCGAGGAAAAAAGACCAGCAATTCATTCCGAGTAATATTTCATTATTTCATTCGTGTATCATCTCTAAAATTTTTTATCTATTTCAGCACCTCGAATATTGTTTTTCCTAGTTCAGCATCCTTGTGTGATGTTCTGTCGACGATATTAACCGATCCGCAGACTCTTTATACAATTTTCAACGGCATTTAATTGTAAGAGCGTTATGTAATAAGGTTTTAGAAACGTTCCAGAATTCTTACTCAACGTTCCGATACTTTGTTTCATCATTTCAGATGCATTTCTTCTTGTTCCAAAAGCATTTATGCCAACGTTCCCGATGTAATGGTTAGATTACGAATTTCTGAATTCAATTAGTTTTTTCACATTAAAACAACTAGCAAATATCGGCCTCTGTATTAAAGTTCGTGCGTTCTGTATTCCAGGTACGTGCTCAGTGCTGGTGGATGTTGAAGATGTGAACGACGTGCCACCACGGTGGCAGAGCGCCGAGTGGTTCGTGGAGGCCATGGAGGGACAGCCGCCCGACACGGTCCTCGCTTCTCTGGCCGTCGTAGACCCCGACACTACCAACTCCATTGCCTTCAGGGTCAGTACATATTTCCATTGCCATTGCCCAAAGACAAATAGTGTCTTTGGCCGTTGTCGACCCCGTTACTACTAACTCCGTTACCTTCAGGGTCAGTGCATTTAATTTGTTTTGACCATCGTCGACCCTGACACTGCCAACTCCATTGCCTTCAGGGTCATTAGATAGGGTGTCTTTTCTTATAAATCGTATAGACTATGTGTCTACTCGGTGGCAAGGGGAGGGGAATAGCGCAATCATTAATGCATATTAGTGTATGCATTGCTTGTTTTCGTTTCTAAATTTTGTTGTAAAATACTCTTCGACTCTAATGAACTTGTATTGTATTTTAGATACTAATTATTTATTATAATTTCTAAAGTTGTCCTACATGTATAGCAAAATAATTTTTTGTAATTTTCAATACAAAGCATTACAATACAGTAGAAACACGATACATTAGAATCTTTAAGCAAATGTGAAGGAACAAATTCCACTTCATGTTTGGGGTATGGATGAAACTGAAAAGACGATTGTAATTCTGTACAATATTTTTAAAATATATTTTTGCAAGTTCGAATTTTTATCGCATTTTTTTATCGGCGCGAGATATTTGATCAAAGCAATTCAGTAAATAATACTTGCCTTCCTGAAGCCTTTTTTTGATTGAGATTTAGTTAAACTAATGCCTCTTCTTACTCTTTGCCTATACTAATGTAATGATCTAACAACAACCTGTGCTTAGAGGTTAGAGGAAATTTTTTAGTTTACAACAGAATTGTGATACATCATCGAGATTAAAGAAGTTAATCAACATCAAATTTTCCGCAAACAACGCAAGTCATCATAAACAAGGACGTAAACGACGTAAAGCGCGAACATTTTTCTCCGTCGAAGGATAATATCATAAAAATATCTAGATTCAAAAGTTAGAAGTGTAATTGAAAAGTTATTTATGGCTCATGAAATTAACCTCAAGAAATACTTGAAATTAGAAGTGATATTAATTAATTAGAAACACACTTGTGTGGTTACTAAAGCTATATGAAGACGCCGGTAATTCTGCTCTAGGCTGTCTCAAATCCCTGCCCCTAAATCAAGCGGCTTTACAACGATACATCACTGCCTGGTCATGACATTGGCCTGGAGATAAGCAATAAGTCTGGCACGACGGTAGCTTTAGTGGCGGCTTACACCTTAATGGAAAACATCGGTGTAATATCAATGGCCACACAACGGCCAATCATTACTGTGCCATAACCGGTAATGGTCTCATATAATAAGCATTTAGAACTTACCCTATCATAAATGTGAGGTGGTTATAGCTTCTGAATTAAAGACGTCTTTAATTAGCTCCAAGCAAGCTAAGGGTGATCGTTGAGGAAGCTTGGGGCGATCGTAGGGCACGCGTATTTGGCATCTGATTCTTTCGGGACGAACACGGCTGAATCTGAAACGTGCGTTAGAAAATTCCCCCTTCATCCCCATTCTACTGGGGGGAAGGGAGCGGGCATTCAAGTCTTTGTACTCTATATATATGCAGGCTAGTACTACTAGGTTAGTTTAAAGATCAGATTAATGCTCAACATAGACTCATATTGCAACTAGTAACCATTTTGACATTGGGTTTAACTAAAATGAGGCAAAAATCACTTACAAATATAGAACTTTTAATTGCTACATGAAAATAAGTTATTCGAGGTAATGCAAGTCAAGGCTATTTCATCTGTTCCATCCACATATCCATCTGATTGAACCACGTTGTTTTTAAGATAAATAGTTGTATTAATTGCCGTACCATGTCACATAACTCTCATCTCGTATATTTCTATTGAGTAATTTGTTCTGCAAGGGCCTCAAATTCTGCGTCCAACGATGTCAGAAAAAATTGAACCAAAACTTCAGTCGAAATTCAAGTTGCAAATTAATGTTCATTTTGACGATGCAGTTTTCGAATGCAATTTCCGGAATCAATCCATTTAAAATCTTACAGTTAACATTAAACAAAAAACTAATTGATAATGATGACTGACTCCAGTAACTAACCTAATGATACTACATAATACAGCGCAGAGTAACTCAATCCGAGGAACAAATTACCTTCCAATGAGTCCTTAAAGTCATGTAAGGAAACGTGTTGTACTTGTGAGCCCCTCGGTGCCGACAGCTTGGCTTAATCAAGAAACTCAAATTATTCTCCTAAATGCACAACGTTCCGTTCCGCATATTGATCCAGTTCCCTAACAAAAGTTTGGGACCGACCAGGCTTCGGCCGAATGGTCACTACACTAGGCGCAAAGCTTATCAGGGTCTGCTTGGCCACCCGATCGAAATCAGTTTCTGGTCAGAATCTCCTATCCGACTTCATAGTCGCCTGAGAGTACGAAAAGGGTTGGCCGAGCCGAGCCATACCGAGCTAGCAAATTGCCCAGAGGCTGCCCTTCTAATCTTGGGCCGAAGCGGACATAGAGAAGCTGATTTACGTGCGGCCCGAGTCCTAGGCTGCCCTAATGTAGGGTCGCGCACGCCTTTAAATTTTGGTAGCGTTGGCGGGCTGACTTAAAAATTAAGAACATAAGCTGGTAAGGCATAAAAGCATAAGCCGGTCAAATAACAACTGATGCAAAGCATATGCCTCAAGCTGAAATATTCGAGTGCCGAAAACTTTCATCGTACAAATGCTGTGTTCTCAGAGAAGAGACGATGGAAGTCACACTATGAAACTACATCTTAAAGTTGATTGAAGGAGAAACTAACCTTCTACCATTGAATTTTTTCAAATCATATAAATCATAGTATAAGGAAGACAACACAATATAAAAATACACGTTGATAAATACTGTCCAATTAAAGAGCCGTTCTGTTTAATTTTAAGCATTCATTGTGGCCCGGTGGTTAAAGTTCAGAGTTCCAAGATTGGAGCAGAGAGTTGCGGGTTTGAACTCAGCTCTGTGCGCCAGTTTTTGGTCAGAATCGGCGAGGAGGCCGGGCGGTAAAGCAAAAAAAAAAAAAATTGAAGCAGTGAGTTGCGAGTTCAAGCCCGCAACATGCTGTAGATGTTCTGCAATTTTAAGAATCGGCGACAGGCCTACGGCCTAATAAACGCTGAAACCACTATGCTATACTATACTATCTGCAGCACAGCAAACAGAAGTGCCTGCAGAATAGACAGGTTAAAAATATGCGTCTAAAACAGTGGGTGCATGGGTTTGTTTATCGTAGGCTAAATTCACTATGCTGTATGTCAAGTTAAAGTCAACTCTCCTTTCGTTCCGTCCTATTAAAAAGCAAACGTACGTGTGTGCATTCATCAATGCCATTTACGTATTGAGCGAGAGATGGCCATGGTTCGCGCAATTTCCCCGTCTAACCTCTGACCAGGCCATCATGCGGTCAGACCAGCGTCTGACCAGGAGCATCGAGTGGAAGCTTGACCAACTACTTTTTCGGTTATATTATGCAGATTCTGCCTACTGGGCAATTGGTTTTCGTAAGAGGCTGCTAAATAGAAGCCGAACACCGTATGTGGCCCATTGGCGCTTGATTCACCTCTAAGCCGACTACATTACCTAGTGATTAAATTGGGATTTTTAAGAAATATTTTATATAGAGAGATAGAGAGAGACGTTTCTTAGTTTCTTCTCGTCTCATATCTTTTAAAGTTGGGTGAATCGGAGTGATCTACTCCACCAAATTTACGTTACGTTCAGGTTCAAGATACCGGTATTCATTACTTGTCGTTTTGTCAGGTAGTCTGCCGAGTGGCATTTGATTTGGCACGTGAATAAGGTTCTCTTTTTGGAAGCGTTACGGCAAAGAAAATACAAAGAGAGGGTTGTAATGAAACACTGATACATTTCATATTAAATTGAGAAATTCAAGTTCACATCCTAC